CTGTCGACCGAGTGCACCACATCCTAACCGAAGATTTGGGTATGACGAAGGTCTCAGCAAGGTGGGTGCCGCATCTGCTGACCGCCGAGCAAAAACGTGTTCGCACTTTGATGTCAAAGGAGTGTTTGGACTTCTACCAGAAAAACCCACAGGATTTCTTGCGTCGGTTTGTGACTACTGACGAAACGTGGATCCATTACTACACTCCTGAAACAAAAGAACAGTCGAAGCAATGGAAACACCACAGTTCGCCACCACCAAAGAAGGCAAAGACAGTTCCATCAGCGGGTAAAGTGATGGCCTCGGTTTTTTGGGATGCTAAAGGCATCATCTTTATTGACTACCTAGAAAGAGGAAAGACCATTAATGCTGTCTATTACTGTGAACTTTTGGAAAAACTGAAGAAAGAAATCGAAGAAAAGAGGCCACACTTGAAGAAGAAAAAAGTTCTGTTCCACCACGATAATGCACCTGCACATTCCGCCAGAATCACTGAACAAAAGATAAACGAACTTCGCTTCCAATTAGTTCCACATCCACCGTACTCACCTGATTTGGCCCCCAGTGACTTCCACCTTTTTCCAAACCTAAAAAAATTCTTGGCTGGAAAGAGATTCCACCCAAATGACGAAGTCATCTCTGAAGTGAACGAGTATTTTGCATACCTTGACAAATCGACCTGTTGTGATGGCATAAAAAAGCTAGAACATCGCTGGAATAAGTGCATTGCTAACAGAGGAGATTACATTGAAAAATAAAAAAAGTTTTAACATTATTTTGTTTGTTTTTCTATGTGAGGCCGCAAACTTTCCGAACAGCCCTCGTAAATTAAAAAAAAAAAAAAAAAAACAATTCTCAAGTGCAGTATGTCTTGTGGCCAAAAGAAGCAAGGTCCCGTTATGCCAAAACTATACTTGATTATCTGTGACAAGAAAACATCAACTTTGTCAAAAAGGTGGGCAATCCTGAAAATCTGCCAGAAATAGTCAAATTGAAGATTTTTGGGAAATTCTCAAAAGTATTGTAGTTATTAACAAAATCAAACAGAAGGCAAAAACACAGATCAGCTGACCAGTCACAAAGTACTGTCTGAAAAATATAAACTAAAATCTTATACAGTAACTTGCTCTGTACACCCAAAGTTGAATTTACTGTGTTTGATAAAAGAACTTGTAGAATTACAAAAAAAAAAAAAAAGAAAATGTACAGCTTTTCATCACCTTTCCAATGACTATTTAGTTCAGAGTTTTCTTTTTTCAGAGGTAAAAACTTCATAACACAAACTTGTAAAGATTTTTCTGGGCAAACTCAAACCAAAGTAAAACAATTCAACAAATTTTTCCTTGCTGCTCTTCCAAAGACCTGATAAAATAGCAATCATCTTTCTAAGTGAAAAATGTTTGTAATTTAATAAATCTGATTCTGCTAGAAAATATTGTAAATTTTGAACTGATTATTGAGATGTTAGAGAGCATCATAGAAAAATGCTATTGTCTGTTTTTCAAAGATGATATTATGTTAATAATTACAATTAACAAAATGGTACTATTTGTAATTTAAAAATAATCTGATATTGTCTTGTCTTATTTGTTACAAAAGTATGCAGTTTCATGAAATGTAACAATAATTCTTTTGCTACTGCTAATTTGTTTTTAATTCTCTATTAGATTAACAAATCTAATAGAGAACAAAAAACAAAATTAGCGATAGCAAAATAATTAATATTTGCTAAAATTAAATTTTGTGATCACTTAAAAGAAATTTGTGTGGACTTTCACAAATTTTTATATAAAATATGGAATGGATTCACAGCAAAGCATATAAATAAAAAAAAAGGTAAATTTTCTGAAGAAAAGTTAAGAGAAAAGAAGACAAAATTTAATGACATTGTGTAAAGCACAAAACATGTTTTACACTTTTGATACAACAGCTACAACTATGCAAAAAAAAAAATCCATTTACATATATATGTTATTGACAAAGTGATTAATCGGGCATTATTCATAATGCCCAGTCATTATGAATAATGACCAAAAAGGGTGCACAGTGTGATAAATATTCATTAATTTATCAAATTGACCGGTCATTATGAATACTGCTATCACCTAGTCGGGCAAATTGATAATAGTATGTTGAAAAGTGATCATCCAACATACACTAGCCAATTGGCACTCTGAGTTGCTGATTGTATCGTGTTGAGTGCGTATTGCATTTAGTACTGAATTTTAAATTGTGTGACATTTTAATTTGATTAAAAAACTCCACTTATTTCATTTAGAAATATTTATTTTTTGTGAATTATTTCAAAGTATTTAAAAAAACACGTAATCTTTTAAAACTAAGTGCTATTAACTATATTAATTAAATGGTAAAATTTTACCTATGTGAACCATAATGGCGGTGGTTGCAACTGTTTATACTGCCGACGGATTCCTCCCGGAGGGAAGCCGACGGCAGGCCGCCGATTGTTTAATGTCACTAGATATTGATACATACTAGTTACTGATATGTGTGTTCAAGAACTATCATGAATCAATATCTAGTGACGTTAAACAATAAGTGGCATGCTGGCAGCAGCCCTCAGGGAGGATTCCATCAAAAGCACAAACAGATGTGACCGCCCCAAATTCAGTACTAAACGCGACACGCATGCGCAACTTCAGATGCGAGTGCTGATTGGCTAGCGTATTTTGGATGATCACTCTTTGATGCGTTATTATCACTTTGCCTGACTAGATGATAGCAGTATTCATGAAATGACCGGTCAATTTGATAAATTATTGAAATTTATTACAATGCCCATTTTGTTGGTCATTATGAATAATGCCCATATTAATCACTTTGTCCATAACAGATATATATATAAATCTCATCCCATGGGATTTCAATTGATATGGAAACTTAGAATTGAATTTGTTAAATCATTAATAAATTTATCTACTTAAATTTAATTTTAAAAATTGTATGAATTGTATAATTCAATCATTTTCAGTACTAACTATTTATACAAGGTAATTCATTCAAAATTAAACACTTATGTGGAGTATCTTTGTAAAAAATAAAAAAATGAGCATGAAATATGAATGGATGCTTGGGTGACAGCTTTGTCATTTCATAACAAAGCAGTCAACCAAGATGTGTTTTACATTACATATTCAAAATGTGACTGTGCAACTTAACAAAGTAAGTGTTCAGCCCCAAGTGAATTGCTCAGTAATGTATATAATGTTTTTAGTTTTCAACAACTGAATATTTAAAATTAGTACATTGCTTAAAAATTATACATTATATTTATTCCAATACAGAAAAAATTTCTGAGATGAATTCCTTGTCAATAACTTTTGTGAATGTATATCTAAATATAATTTTTAAACCTATTAATATAATTTTCAAAACTTCATAATAAGCATTTATACAAAAAAGTTAAAATATCATTTCTCAAACATAGCCTAAATCACAAAGACTAACAGGCCTAATTATTTTAAATGATGATAGAGTTGAATTTTATTTTTTGGTGTAACAGGGATAGAACTACAAATAAGAGAATTTTGATTGTAAGCGTATAATATGCAGAAAAATGATACAGGTGGCAGACAAAATATTATTTTTAATCTAAACATTAAATGTAAATTGCACTTGAACAAATGGCACATTTATTTGAATTCTGTACAATGACATTTTAATACTGATGTATTTTAAATATTCATTGAAAATCTATTTAAATACTGTTCCACTTGAACAGGTTATAACAACAGTAACATGTATAATAAAAACAACAATGATTATAAATCTGTAGATGTTACAAATTTTTATCTCAGCAAGTTAACGTATTAAATGCAAATACATTTTAACTAATCTTTAACTAATGAATCTTCAATTATTATATCTGAAGTATCATTAATAATTCAGTCTTTCAATATTGTGATTTCCAACAACATGGGGTCACCTCAGTCTAAAGTATCAAGATTCTATCAAATCATCCTAAAAGTTAAGCCATTTTACTCAAGAATAGACATTGCAGTCTTCTCACATAAATTTACAGATAAAAAAAAACTATATATTTTTTAAATTTTCCATACAATCCTATCATTAACTCTAAAATATTTGAAGAAAGTGATGAATAGCAGAAGGCCATATGATACACATTTGTTTCCAATAAATATTACATACATTAGAAAAGAATCTCTATATATTTTGTATTACATTTTAACAACAAAAACTTCAAAAATTTTTTATTGTTTATATATATATTTTTTTAAGTTATGTGAAATTACAAGTTTGTAAACTGTTGGGAAAGGAGTTGTTATAAATTGGATTATGAAGGATTAAGAAAACCACTCTTGATAACTTGCTGGAATAAGGGGCAATTAGTCCGGTGGAGTCAGTAAACAGGTCAGTCAAACCATGGGGCAATAGTTGGAATTATTTGTATGAGAGCAGGCAAAGTATTATGACCTCTGTAAAAAGAATATTTTCTAATATACTCAGTTTGTTTGCTTTTATACTGGAGTGTTGTAAAGTTTACAACAAAATATATACAAAAATCATTATTCAATTTTCAACTGATCAATAGTTCAAGAAAGAAGAATTATATTTAATGTTATATGCAAAGCCTTTTCAATTGCTTCTCATTTAGCACTATTAATTTTAAAATTATAAATTAAAAAGTTTCATTATGAAATTTAAGATTTTCGTTAATCTTAATAAAGCTTTTGAAGCTTTTTGTTGAAGCAAAAAAATAATGTTTTTGGCTTATCATCAGCTAAATAAACAAATATGCAAAAAATAAATATATTTAGTCTAGATATGTTTCTTTAAACTTTTGATAGATAATGTAGTTGTTACTTTATTTCTTTAGAAAATGTTTATGCTTATAATACAGAAAAATGGGGCTATTTTAAATGATATAATGCAAAATAAGAATTAAAAAATTATCCTTCATTAATTACTTTTTATAGATTTCTAAAAATATTAATTTAAACTTTTAAAATTCTTCTCACCTGTTTTTTAATTTCATATTCATCTTTTCCTTCTTCCTTCATTTTTTCCACTTTTAGTCTTTGTAACTCAGCTTCTTTTTCATACATTGCTTTTTCTTTTGCTAACCTTAAAAATGCAATTTTCATTCTGATTAAATTAAAGTATTTTATTCAGTATATATATATAATTTAATTTTTAAAATATTTTTTTATAGTAATTTATATGAAACTTTACAAGAAGGTTACTAAGTTACTTTTTTTGTTTATATTGTCTGATTGGAAGAAAGTCAAATACTTTCAAAATCTATTTGGAGCATTTGAAAATTTTGAGTTTTTTCTTTATAGTTTTGTTAAACTTAGCTAATTTTTTACTCTAAAGTTTCTCCTTTCAAAATAAATACAAAGGCTATTTCTTTTTCAACCTCTGATGGTCCAGTAAATTAAGATGGCCTTAACGACATTGTTTTAAAGAGCATCATTAGACTCAAACCTCTGCCCTCCTAGCCATGTTTTCAGTTCAGGAAAGAGATGGAAGTCTTCACACATTAGAAAGTTCCAAGCTGGGTAGGTCTTCACCACCTTTAAACATCCAGTATATAGCCCCAATTTACCGAGCGATTTCCATCTCTTTCCTGAACTGAAAATATAGCTAGGAGGGCAGAGGTTCGAGACTAATGATGATCTTCAAAACAATGTTAGGGTCCCATCTCAAGTCATTGGTGGCAACATTCTATGACAAGGGGATAAAAAAGCTTGTCTACAGATATGACAAATGCCTCAATCTTCACGGTGATTATGTCAAAAAGTAACCATGTTTGGTACCTAACTTTTGGTAATAAATTCATTTTGTTATTTACACTTGTCTTTGTTTTATGGACCATTGGAGGTTGAAAAAGAAACAGCCTTCATAGTAATGATTCATTCGAAAACACTTAAAAATATGTTCAGTCTAATGAATTTGATACCAGTAATGCATTTTGTTATAGACTTTTAAATATTTTTACTATAACAAATAGAATGCTTGAAAAAATTTCATTTACTTACATTTTTTATCTGAGAAATTAATACAAACTTTAAATTTTGAGATTCAAACAACAAGATTTTTTAGATTAAATTAATTTTTCCAATATTTTTAAAGTGTAAACAAATTCAAACTAAACGCAAAAAAATTTTAATGAACACATAATATATTTTACAACAAATCTAATTTTAAACAATATTTTCATAGTTTCCACACTGTACATAAATGTGTACCAGCTATAAAGGTCTATGTCAGATGAAAGAGATGGAAGGAGTCATGTGAAAGTTGAAACGAGGATCTCTCTCTTTCAGCTGTTTTGTTTTTTACATTTTTAAAACGTTTCTATACTATCTTTATCATTTTATTGTTTTAATTTTTTACAAATTTTATTACTGTGATCCATGTGTCAACTCCTACATGTCTCCTTTCATCCCTTTCATCTGATGTAGACCCTTCCAGCTAAGGCTGACTCAAGTCTGTTCTTTCACTGCTCAGACTATAATAGAATCTTATTTACCTGTATTCTATTAGTTCTAATAATATATGGCATCAACTTAAAGACATGTTTTTTTACTGGTGATAATAATATTGATTAAAAATTTAACAAAATTAAAATTAATGTAATTTAAAAGAACTAATATTTTAAAGACCTGTTTATATATTAAAATGTATTTAAATGCTTATATTTATCCTATAAAAATTATTTCAGCAATTTACATATTTCTAATATAATCTGTTAAAATTTACAAATCTCAGAAAACAAATGATTTATTTCTTCATTTAAACATTTTTCTCATAAATCATAGGACTAAACCATTTCCACTATGTAAATACAGAATCTTTATCTCTATCAAGGACTTTTTCTGTAAATTAGGCTACATAATCTATTATAGTGCCAAGTTTTGCATTCTTTCAATAATCTATGATCTGTTGGTTGTTTCTTGTATTCAGTTTTATAACTAATTTTTCTAATACAATAGAAGTTTGCTGATCTGGCACCTAAAGAATCAGAATGATAACAGATTATTGAAAATGTTGGGATTAGTGAATGTCGGACTCCATTCCACATTTAAACCCAATGTTGGAGGCACTTGGTCAGAAATAGTATATGGAATGACACTATGTTTACCAGCCAACTTTATACAGTTTACAAATAACAACTCTGTTAAGCCACCCATCTTCCTTCAGCACCTCTGCAATATTATGAACAATTTTTTGCCAGTCCAAACCTCCATGAATGACAAAATTATCACCTTTTTACACCCCTCAATAATGGAATGTTCCCACGTATTTGTTAAAAATGAGTGTCAAAAAACCCCTACAAGCTCCCTACGATGGCCCGTACCAAGTCCTAGCACAATCCAATAAACATTTCACCATATTAATAAAAGGCATAGAGGCTTTCATCAGCATGGATCAGCTCAAACCAGTGTTCATTGATACAATTACAAACAATACAGCCAATCCACCAGTCGACAACATAAGCTATTCTGTCACACTGATGCGAGCACCAACCACCACGACCCGGTCAGGATGTCATGTGTGCTTCAACCCTTGGTACCTCTGATCCCTGTATTGTTGTCACTGGGGGAACACTGTGGTGCCCACCAGCAATGTGCCGATTCAGACCGATGGAGGGCGCAGAAAAGAAGAAAAAGTGAACTTTGAACTGGATACTCACTTTCGGACCAATGACTACCAAGATTGGACGTTTGAACGAGAGGCCAACATAAAAACATTGTATTGATACATTGCTGTATATATATGTATATAAATAAATATAAAAATCCGACCGAACGTTCTCTCATCAGCATGCAAGCATTCTCATTTGGTGACCAAACCCAAAACTTTATACCAACTGTTAAAAGGCATTATGAATGCAAACAACAACAGGACAAAGTGTTGCTGATGCTCAATAATGCACCATGTCATCAACTGATGTGCTAAATGCAATTGATGATGATTTTGAGGTGATGTATCTTCTACTAAATGTCATAGCATTAGCTCAATGCAATGGATAAACTTGTAATCGAGAAACTGAAGACATGTACAGAAAGCTAATTTTATATCATTTATTTTTGGCAGAAAATAACAAGGAAAATGTAGTTGCTTTTACTAAAAAGCTTAATTGAAAGATTGAAACTAGTGAGTGAAACTAGTGAACTTGTCAGAAATGAAATAAAGAGGTCAATGAGCAAGAACAAAGTAAAACAGGTCTGATGCATGCTGAGGCATTTGATATACGACAGGAATGACAGGGTATGAGTCAAATTTTCTTCTATTCAACTGCTCTTCTCAAACAGATAAGAGATTTTGCAGATAAGAAAGTTTTACATTTGTGCAAAGGAAAATAAGCAATTACAGGGTCAGCCAAAAATCCATATAAACTTTAAAAATTCATAAAAAAAAAAAAGAAAAAACATTGTATTAAAGTATAGTTTGTACTATAAGTATTCTCAGAACGGGAGATTTTTTTTGACAGAAAAAAACTGTAGTCTGAAAAGTTGTTGATAGTTGGCACGGAAGACATTCTCATGGCAATGAAAATGATTACTGTGCATTCAATTTATTTATTACAACAGCAATTCTGACAGTTCATCAAAGTGTTTGGCATGTCCACCACAAGGTAAGATACAACTGATGCAAATGACAATGCCTTTGACTGTTCAGATGGATAGAACTCACTTTAAGCTGAATGGCATCTTTCAGTTACAACAATGTGGAAGGACTTGACTGATATACTTTAGACTTTAAATAGTACCATAACCAGATAAACTGATATCAAATCTGGAGATCAAAAAGGCCATGAAATCTTGCAGTGCCTATTGATAAGTCAGTCATTATCAAATATTAAGATCAAAAATTTCTTTACTAGAGAAGTGATATGAGAAGATGCTCCTTCCCACATAAATGTGACTGTTGGCAGCATCTTCATTTCTTGAAAAAAGACACAACTTACTCTTGTAGTGTCAAATAAGGTTGTGCATTGTTTTCCAGCCATTTCTTGGACTAAGCTCTTCAGAGGAAAAACTCTTCAATGTAGGTTGCAGTGAAGCACACCTGCCACTTGTGGTGAGTGAAGCAACTACATTATGAACATATGTGGAATAGCAATTGCCCATGTATGATAGCTGTGTATGTTCACTCGTCCATGCAATGGCTTCATCTGTCCAAAACTACACACCACTGTGCAATATTTGATAAAGCCCATGTAGCAAATGATGGTATCTGCTGGTAAAAGCAGGTGCAGTGATTGCAATCTGTACAGACAGAGATTCAAGACACCATGAAAGATGTTTGGTTTAGTTTAATGGAATTGTGGCCGCCAGCGATCCTGAACACTGTCTGGCAACACTTGCCAAGATCACGAACTCTGTCTGGCAACACTTGCCAACAAGAGTGGCTGGCAACGTCAAAAAAGAAAAGGCGCGAAAGTTCGTTGGATTTTGTCCGGGTGTCGCTCGAGGATGTCTGTAACAGTTCTAACCTTTTCTAATAAAGTTCTTTTTTGTTACTGTTCGTGTTTGCCTGCTTAATGTTAGATCTAAACATCAGTAGGATTGAATGACAAAGAATAAATGATGTAAGCAATCTGTCAAGGATGTCTGCTGGAAAAACTTTCAATGGAAAACTGGCCCTTAACACATTCTCATTTCCTGTCAGAATCCTTCATCCTGTGAATACTTAAAATGTAAACCATACTTCAATGCTTTTTAATGTGTTTATGAATTTTTAAAGTTTTTATGAATTTTTGGCTGACCCTGTAATTTTCAATAAAAGTAAGGTATTATTCTATAACACTCATTTGCAGTTTTTATTTTATTACCCCATGATGCATTCATGTGAATTTTTTTTCTAAAATATATAGTTTCATGATTGGTTATCTGAACCACTTCTAGTCCAAATACATTTAGATAATCAAAGTTGTACTGTATATCTCTTTATATATAAACTTTCAGATAAAAATTAAATTGATATTTTTAGAAATATGTTATTACTTTTTTTAAGTTTTTGATATTCTTTAAAGGATAGCTTTTCCAATAAGTTATTTTTTTTTAGTGTTTAAAAATTGTAAATGTAGTAATAATCTAAACTTTCTTATTGAGATAGTCTTTCAAAAAGTATTGCAAGCATGCAAACATTAAAATTGTGGAACAATTTTTGCAAGATAAAAGTTGTATTTCAATAAAGCAAAAAATAAGTAAAATTACATATGACAAAGTCTAAGAGGTTAAGTTATTGATGTTAAGTACTAAAAAAAAAAAGTATACTGCAGATATATTGTACCTGTATGTAGATTTTAATGTTTAATTTTAATGTTAAAAACTCATTTAAACAGATGAAACTATAATAAATATAAATTTTTTTCTGTCTACATTTATATTTAATTCTATATTATACAATTATTTAAATTTATTTTAAAACCTGACGATGACTGTAAATAGTGAAAATATTTGTTTACAATAAATAATTTTACTGGATTAAAAAATGCAATTTATTGGAGCACAAAAATAGAAGATCTCACAATTACCATTGGAAGAATAGACACAAGACAAAATCAAAAGAATCAAAAGTAAACGATCCGGAAGTAGCAGTTAAAAGGTGGCAATCGCAGATTAATTTCGGGAAATCTCGGAGATAGAAAAATTAAGGTCCCAACCGTCTCATTCGGAGCTCGAACAAAACCAGATTCGAACATCGACGACACCATTCAATACTTCTGCAGACAGAATATCCTACATATTAGTCATCAACTTTTGATTTTAAGATAAGATCTAATAAATCTAATCAGGATGCTGATAATGAAGAGGAATTTTACCCAAAAACCATATTTCTAATTTATGATTAAGAGCTATTATGAAGTATATTTAATAATTCTAATTATGAAAATACTTCCTAAATTAAATTCCAAAGTATTTTTAAATTTACATTAACAACCACTTTTATATATAAAACACTCGCCATATGTTTTATTTACATAAATTTTAAAATGATCTCTTTCAAATTATAATTAACAATGTTTATATTTTAAATATTCAACCAATAATATCTTCTTATACAAGGAAAAAATTACATTTATTTTAATTTAATCAAAATATAAGGACAAATTAATATTCAACTGTTCAATTCATTATCGATTAAATGCATTGAGATTTTATTATATATTTTGTTATTATCAATATGACAATTGCACTTACCGCTTCACTACACCAGATTTAATCTTTATCTGTTTAATTCTTGAATCGGCCATTTCTCTTCTATTTAATGTAATTTATTAATTTTGTATTAAATGTAACGGACCAATATTTTCATCGCTTAGCAACCAAGATTAAGCTTACTACAGCGCCATCCCATGGCTAAAGCGAATATTAATGTAAAAATTTAATACATTTATATCTCGTATTATTATTATTACTGTATTATTAAATTATTTTTAATATATTTATTAATTTATTAAATTAATATTAGCTATTACTTATAAGTAATATATATACTTTTATATATCAATAAAATAAACGTTTATTAAATTTAATTTAGATTCTTTTAAATTATAAATGTTACATAATTTTTAATTTAAAGTAATTCTGTTATTTTAATTAATAAATTTTATAATTATTGTTTGAATATAAACAATAATTTTTTAAACAAGGTTCATAGAACTAGTGTGTGTGGTGAACGGCCATTGGTAAGGCGCTAGATAACCCAGGTATGCTCATCCGCCATGTTGGTCCTTAGAAAGCAGACGACTCTCGTAGAAGTTCAATAGAAGAGACACGAAAATAATCATAAATTCAACCGATTTTGCAAGGTCGAAATGATAAACTTTGCCAAAATTTAGTGCACCTAGTTATAAAATACAGCTAAATTTAAAAATCTTGGAATATGACGTCAAAAGGACCAATATGGCTGCACACGTGACGGAAGCGTATGAGCATACCTGGGTAATCTAGCGCCTTAGCCATTGGTCGGTAGTGTGTGTGACGTTACAACCATACCGGAAATATTACCGGAAGTTGACTTTAACATGGAGACCATAGATATAAAGCTCTTATTTAGACTATGATACATGCCTGATAAATCGATTTAAATTTGAAAAATTTTTTAATGAGACAATTACTTATATTTTATTTGCGCAATACTAAAACACGTAACTTATTATTTTGTAATTTCGATACTTATCTCACACGTAAAATGTCTTACCGTCGCACACCTCCCGTTGAAGACTGCGCGATGCGGCGCACTGCATAGTATTTACTGGTTAAAATCAAAATGCAATGCTTATTTATTAAAACGGATTGACTGAATTTAACTAAATATAGGCTACATATAAGATGTCCACGTAAAGATTTTTCCAGAGTCAAAAGAGATCTTCCAGCTTTGCACGAGTGTATGCACATAGTGCATGCTTGTTTCAACGCTGAAATAACCGAAAGGAATCAATTTAAGAATATTTAGAATAACATGTAAATAATGTCTGACTGTAAAGGATAAACACAACATTGCAGAAATAGAGAACACGTTCAAAATGACTGTCTTCAGTGGCAATCCAAATATGTATATGGTCGAGCGCGACAGCATGAATGGCACAGCATTTCTGGTAACTAGTGTACTAATTTAGTAACTAGTGTACTAGTAACTAATGTAACTTTTTAAATGTAGTGTAATCTTTTGCGCCTGGATAGGTCCAGATTTTAAACTCATTTCGCTCTGTGAGCAATAAGAGGATCTTTCTTCGGCAAATCCATCATGGGTTCAAAAAAATCCACAATAGGGCGACCAGGTGGTGAGGGATGTGGTCCGACATGGCGAGAAAATAACATTTTCGCAATCCTCTCCAAAAAATTGCTGGAGGTTTTCGATTTTCTCCAGATTTGATCCCTTACCCCCTTAGACTAGGGGTGACCAAACATTTTTCACAGCGGGCCAGATAACTGAGAGAATGACGAGCGCAGGTCTCATGACCATTTTGTTCAATACAGCACACGGAATACACAAAAAATAAAGGCAACCAACATATTTATTTACCAATACACAAACACGATCGCTGCAGCAAGCTCATAATCGCTTTTCTTAGCAACTTCATCGCAGATACTTACACAAAAAGCGCTCTGATAACCAAAGTCGGGCCGGATGACCGAACGGTCAAGGTGGCAGCTTACCAGCAGTAGCGTTCCGTCATTAGAAGCGGTGGAAGCGCCGCTTCCCTTGTATTTTATAAAAAATAAATACATATTAATTTAAATTATATGAAAATAATCGCAAAATATTTTATTATAACCGCATTATGTATTTTATTACAAATATCTATACTACACGTGAAAAAAAAAGATTGCCATTGTATATTCGAATATTAGTGGAGGAGTGAAATCTCTGTATTGTCAGATTCCAAAAAACCAGATTTGCGCATGCGCTTTACAGAGCACCAACCTCACCCGGTTTAGCCAGTGGAAGCCTACGATCTTGGGTCGATAACACTTCCAATTCTACCCGGGTCCGGTCCGGGCTGTTAGCCGCCCGCCCGCTAGATATTTGGCCGATTACGTGAATAACGAGTAGATTTATAACTTAACCCAACCGATAAGAATTTACTGGTATGTTTTTACGATAGTTCCGTATAGTTGACAGGAGTTTAAAAAATCCATTAAAATATTTGATATTTTTATTCCGCTCTCCGATTTTATATTACTCGCGGATTTCAATGTTAAACCGGTGATATTACGATTTCGTATATCCCATCTTTAAGGGGATGTAGAAAAAAACGTGTATAATTCTTGTATAATGTTAAAAAATTAACCGTTACTTCGACAGCGTCATTTACAACTAAATTTAATGAATGAGAGAGATGCAC